CCAAAGACTTGCACGAAATCCCACCTGCTGCTCCGCCATTGTCCTTGCACTGCCAGCTAAACACTACATGTACCTTTCTTAAGAAAAAGTACACCCATGATCCACACCCTGTGCGCACGCACACAGATACACACTTTCCCCCGCACACCCCTAGTGAATCATAGGCATTGACGGCACAGAAGGAGGCCATTTCGCACATGGAGTCTGCACCAGCTCTTAAAGCAAGGTGTTCATTAAATCCCACTGCCCTACCCTATTCCGACACTCCTTCAAGCCTCTCTTCTTCATATACCTGTCTACTTCCCTCTTGAAACCCACGATGGACTCTGTCTCTACCACCTTAGTTGATGGGGCTTTCCACAACCCAACACCTCTGTGTGGGGAAAGAAAAATCGCCTAAGCACTCCTGTTGCTTTTACCTACTTGTTGAATGTCTTGTTATAATGCTGGTTACGAGAGATGTAAAGCATAGAGTGTTTGATCCCACGTAGCTACTGTTGCTCTGTGTAACAACACATAACCACTACTTATTTATGTAGAAGGAAATGGAAACTTAGTGGAAAATGTAATTAACAAAAAAGTCACCAAAGTTCCGACAATTAATGCAATGGGGAATACAGTTTGGGAAACAACAGTTGATTGTATCTCTAGTTTTAAAGGAAAAATGTTTCACGCATGTTCACGGAAGTGATTTTAAAGTTGTGGTCTCAGTAAGAGACACAAATGTTTGTTTTTGCTCCTGGTCTTTGCAATCTCTCCTTCCTCTTGGCTTTGCTGAAGGCGAGTGCTGCCTGTGAGATAAGCCATTCCAGCTGACCTGATTTGCATGACATTTGCTGCCAAGTCTTGTCAGGGACTAACAAAAGACCTTGTGTTTCAGGAGGTGTGACACTAAACCAGGATGTTATTGATTTAAAACGTTTCCACCCATAAGAGGCCAGTTGGTTGCTTGTGTGTATGGCACGTTGAGTAAAAATCAGTACAACGTTTAAGTCGATCAGGGTATCAAAATCCAAACTATTGAGTAAACAAATAAGGTTACTTTAAGTCTACACTGTTTTTTTTAAAATCCTCGTCCGTCCTAATGACCATTATATTTATCAATAGAAAGTAGATCATTAATGTTTTATGAAAATCTTGTCTATTGGATTACGTAACCCAAAGCAAGCCACTTGCACAAGAAACTCAGCGCTATGTGAGGCATTGGATTAAACACCCTTTCACCTCTGGAATCCGAGTTTGATTCCAGGCCCACACTGCCTGATGTGAAACGCAGTGCGTTCCTTCTCAAGCTAATGTCTGGGAAGTCTGTGCTCAAAACTGGCCTCTGGATTAGCAGTTAATGAAGAGGTCATGAGGGCTTGTGTGGGAAATGGAAGTGTCTCACTAGTGCAGTGAAAGTCTTAACTGAGCCAGACGAGAAGAAGCTTTACTCTGCTGCAAACTATGCTACCCCTGATCTGCGTGCCATACTCAAGAAAATGCTCTGTCCCGTTTACTGTGAGAGTTACCTTTTTAAAAAAAACACACTATAAAGCATTTTGACATCGCTTTTCTTTCAAGGTTTCTTACTGTGGCAGGTAGTAGCTTAGTCTGTGCATTGTATAGGGCTCCTGACTGCACACTAATTGATTTGTATCTTTGTTTCCAGGCATAGCAAATACGAAAAGATGTTCAATAGCACTTTAGTAAATTCATTTGTCATTGTGATATATGGTAGATTATATATGATATATATATATATATATATTGTGTATATATATGATATGTGGTAGATTAAAGGTGATGGTCATTCTATGGTTACTTTACCCTGAATATATTGCAATGAAAGCCTCCCCTTCGATTCTTTGTTTATTTGACAAGTTATAGAGTTTTATTTATAGTGTCTCAGTGATTGATAATCCCTGTCCTCTTCATGTGTCTCCATGTTCACACACTGTATTCGGTACTTTTAAAATAAATTCTGCAGAGGCAAGTGGAAAGCCTGTGTCTGGATCTCTCGTGAACAGAATTTGGAGGGGAATTTGAACTTGTGTTGTGGGAAGGGTCAGCAACCAGAAACCGTATTCCCGAGATTATTGAGGATAATTATGTTTTATAGCTGTGTGAAAACCTGCGTACAATTAGATCGTCCTACATTTAAGTCAAAATACAGTATTAGATTCACACAGAATTTGCAGCTCAGAAACAGGCCATTTGGTCCAACCACATTTCTATTCCATATGAGTGTCCCCCACTCCTTACTCCCTCCCACACTTGGTAATCATTCTTCCAAGTGTGTTTTTTTTCCTGTGTTCTTTGCTGTGTCGCTCGTGCCTCTTTTTAAGCTTTCTGGTAAACGTGAAAGAGGCTGACCACCGAGTGCATCCTGTAGAATATTCCCAACGGAAGACCAAAGTTGAGGATGGAGACCCACAAATGAAAGCCGTAGAATTCTTTCACTGTACCACTGGTAAATTGGGATCGAGGGCCAAAAGCAAGTATGATCCAAACCTGTTGACAGAAAGTGGTCATTTCAGTGTCTTGTAAATATATCAAAAGTCAAAACACAGTGTACTATTCAGTTAGTGACAGTGAGACAATGGGGTATGTTGTAAATGCTCTTGGAGCTGTTAGTGGAATTGTGATTGTTGGTGAAGTGACACTCTGGTCTCACTTTTCCTTGTTGGGTTTCTCCAGAACAGACACTGCCCATAGCTGGACCAAATGGTGCTGGGAGTTGTATGATAACAGGCAGTGCCTGTGGTCATAACAACAGGCAAGGAAAGTGACTGGGTCCTTATAATAATAATGCACCATAGATCACCAGAGGAGTCTGCAAGCTCCAATTAAACCCTTTCCACCCTCACCTTCACCCTGGCCTCCATCCCCCAGCTTGTGTACAAGTCCAGTGTCTTGGGACATCCTCCCAATGTGAGAGGCGTTATGTCTAAATTTAAATTTTCATGCCAACACATGGCGGAACCAAAGGAGGTCTTCCACATTTCTAAATGTTGAATGGCAACTGATAAAAAAGTGACTTGAGGTAGCACTGGAAACTTACGATGATATTGCTCAGGAGTAAAAATGAAGTGATCTCCTTCAGGAACCTCCGCTTCCACGTTAGCTGATTGCCCTGCACATGTCCTGGACCAACAGCAGGGCTGATTGTATCTGAGTGTGTTTCGGGATTGTTGCTTTGGAAGGTGGGCTCCGTAATTTGGTCAGAAAATTGCTCGGATCGAGTAGGACTGATATACAGGTGGCTGATGGCACTTCTGAATAATGATTGAAAACTTATCTGTTCGGTTGGTTCACTGAACGGTTGCCTGTACAAACCTTTGATAATGAAGATACTTTGGAGGGCATGCTGGATTATTGTGATCAAGGAGAACATGAGGCTCAGGATGGCTAGAGGTTCATGTGGTCTGATGGACACCAGAGCTACTATTGAAAAGTAGGCAACGCTAAACTGACCCATTTCCGTTCCCAACAGCAGATTCACCTCTAGATTTCTGGTAGGGTTTATACGTTGATCTATGCTTCTTTTATCGAGTATGTAGATAAAAGAGCCAAGCAAGCTGACCATGGACATCAAGCTCAGAAGCACAATGTTGAAGATGTAATACATTATAAGAGCTGGTATCTTCCATTCATTAAATGTCATCTTGACCTCACAGATAATGAAAATAACTAGGCCGACCAATATCCCAACCAACCCAAGGACTAGGCCAATGGGAAAGCCGTGAAGGTAGAAGTTACCCTTGTTTTGGGCAAATTGATCTAAGAACCGGCCAACATTCTTCCACATCACGTAAACCATGGTTGAAGCAAACAAGTTGTACTCAATGTTGAATGGGTATAAGTAGTCAGAACCGAGCTGCAGATGATGACAGATACTGCTATTGCAGTGACATTCGGTGCTGTTACCTGGATCTGGACACAAATGGGAAAGTAAATGTCATGATGGGGTTTGTGTGAACAGTCTCAATGCAAGTTCTGGAGCTCATATACCCTTCCCAAGATTTAGTGCCCAAAATACTGTCCTCTGAATGAAGTTTGACCAACAACAACAACAACTTGGATTTATATAGATCAGTTCTCTATCTCATTTGCTTACTTTTATATTTCAGACTTCTTGTTATAAATTCCAGGAGAAACTCATTTAAAAACAACTTCTTTTTACCCATCATTTGCCAATAGCTCACTCTCCAGATTTCTGTTTCAAGGAAGATTACAACAACAGCAACAGATTACATTTGTATAGTGCCTTTCACATCGGGAGGATGTCCCAAGATGCTCCTTATTGCCTGTCTTGGGAAGAGCCATTTCACTTATGTTACTTAACTTGGGGATGTATTGGGTGACAGACATTATTGAAGGTTTGACGAAATGCTGACCTTCTATAGTCAAGAACTTGCTCTCTGGGAGGTCGTTGCTATCAGTCTGGTGAAGAAACTCGTCTGTTACAGCAGAAACCCACAGCATCAGATTGGATGTCAGCAGCAACGACAAGCCGCACCTGTACACAGCAGCAACTCAGAGAAACAAGCTCAAAATCCATAGCGAATGGGAAACAGGCTGGGTGGGGGCCGGGGAGGTGATTTACTTATTGCAGTCACTTTGCTGCAGAAAAGGCAAATAACATTGTAAATTGATTTGATCTTGATTTTTATCTGGAGTGAAATTTGTTTTACAGCAAATTGGTTTCAGATCATCGAGGCTCGTGACCCTCAATGTCAATTGGCTGTGTTGGCTGGTCTGTTTTGAGAAGGGCATTGGTGGAGGGCACATTGGGAAAGTTGCCCTTCTTCAGTATAAGGACAACGAAGGAGAAAAAGCGTAACTTACCGTGAAATGTCCTGCTGTAGTTGAACGCAAGTTTTGCAATGGACCCACAGAAAGTATGTCTGTAATTGGAAACAAAACATCATGTTTACCCCTTGCAAACAGTTACCGCAAAGACATGAACCTTGTCCCAGCAAAACCTCATTTACCTGGGCCAGAAGAAATGCGATTTGAGTGACAAAGAAAATGATTGTGATTGGGTGTTGACAGCCTGTGGATCCAATGAAATATCCAATCTTGAACAAATGCAGAAGCAAGCTGCCACCCGCAAACAGCAGCAGCCCTCCTGTGGAGTGGAAAGCAAGCAAGTCACCGGGAGGTAAAGAATAAAAGAAAAATAATAATAATCCTTGCATTTCATATAGCACCTTATCATGTCTTCGAGACATTTTGTGGTCAAATCAGGCATGAGAATAGTATCATTTTGGGTCGTTACTGTATCATCCTGTTGCATCCTCGCCTTTGAGTCAGAAGATTATGGGTTCAAGCCCCCACATCACGACTTTGAGCTCACAGTCTAGATTGACACTTCAGTGCAGTGCTGGCGAGAGCATTGGATTGTCTGAGGTGTCAGTGGGTTTCTGAACTAATATTGCTGCCTTTTCTCTATTGATTAAATGTGGGCAAAACATTCCCGACAAAGCGATGTACGTGTTCTATCTTTACCTCTTAGCCAGACTGGTCCTGCGTTGGTGTCTCTGTAAATAATAATGTGCTTGTGCCTGGCAATGTAGGAGACATAGAAGAGTATCCAGCACAGAGCCAATAGCATCATGATGGTAAGGAACAAGTGGACCTCATTCTGCCCCACTGGGATTCTCCTGATAGCCCCTACAGAGATCAGAGCAATTCCCAGCAGCCCTATATTCGAGGCTAGCACTGCAGACAGCAGGTTGGCCCCTGGGACCCGTTGGCCAGATTCATTCTGCAGCAGTTTGGGTGATGTTGGGTCATTGGCAGGTTTCAGTAAATTCTGTGGGTTTCCTTCCTGGTGTGGACCCATCACATTGCTACTGCTTTCCCCTTCAGTTATTTCTCCGGATATTGTCTGCATTTTTAGAACCTGTTACTGGACATAAATGAAACAGAATAAAAGTAAAAGGTCAAAATACATCTATTGCTCTCCTAACTCCTTCCTGGTTTCGCTCAACGATCTGGGATATATCTCATCAGAACCCTGGGGACTGGGGGGTCGCAAAGTGAGGTGGAAAAATAGAGTTGTGTGTCGTCCGCATACGTGTGGAAGTGTACCTCATGTCTGCAGATGACATCCCCAAGAGGGAGCATGTAGATCAGAAAGAGGAGGGGGCCAAGGATGGATCCTTGGGGTACACCGCAGGTAATCGGATGTCGAGGTCGAGGGTAAGGCCACGGTTGTGGGAAGGTGAATTTATGTGAAGGGTGAGGTTTAGGGAGGAGAGGAAGGCAGTGAAGTCGGCAGAAGTAGTGCAAGGGGAGTTTAGGTAGAGGTTGAAATTGCCCATTATGAGCAGGCGTTCGAAGCGGAGGGACAGGGAAGAGAGGAGAGTAGAGATGTCTGTGTGGAAGGAGCCGGGGGGGCTTGGGGGGGTGGTAGACCAGGAGGATTTTCAGTGGGAGAGAGGAATGGAAAAGGGTGAGGTGCTCGAAGGAGGGGAAGCAGCCAGAGGAGTAGGGAGGCCAAGGGAGGCTTTGGAGATGAGGGCCACCCCGGTGCCATGTTGGTTTGGACGGGGGGTGTGGAAGGTATGGCCTGGAGGGGAGGTTTCCATTAGGGGGACGGGGTCAAACCTGGAGAGCCAGGTTCCTGTCAAGGTGCTCGTCCAGCATAGGCTTGGCGGAGGATGCAGAGGGAAGTGGTGATGGGGTCGAGGAGAGAAAGAAGGCGGGGGCGGGGGGCAGCGTTGGGAAGAGAAGGACAGAGCGGGAGTAGCAGATAGAAGGGGGCAGGAGGAGAGACATTTAGAGGGGGAGGCTCGGGGCGGCAGCTAAAACGCTCACGCAGAGACCGGGAGCGAGCGAGTGAGCGATCAGCGAGACGGCATCAGCCCTTGGGCTGTGTGGTCATGGCCGGGATGGCAGTGCTGGGGCTGCCAGGCCATTGTCGTTGTTTGTTTCACTATGACGTCACGCTGACGGCACTTTGTGAATCAGCGTCACCTACTTCGCTCTCCTGACTCCGCTCCTGATCGAGTGGCTTCGTCACCTCGCTGGGTTTTACCCCTGCAGCTAGGACCCTCGGCTTCGCCTTTTCTCCAGCTTTTAGGCGGATGTTTCCTGGTTTCCCCACAGTTTAGCCGTTTACCAATTTAGCTGTTTACCGGGTTACCTGTGAGGACTTCACCTCTGTGGATAAAAGTTACATTTGCTGATGATCGAAGCAGACGCAGACATTATATCAGTGAGCTGGACAAGGGGTGGAGTCTCTGTCGTCCATAAATCACCCCTTTAACAACATGAACCCAATAAAAACCCAATAATCTCAGCGTGCTGAGAATAGCCGGAGACGCAGGATCCCTGCGAGACTGGGGCAAAGGTACGATACATACAGGTGACTGTTGTACAGTGTCACTTCAGTGCAATGTTGAGAATCACGTTTACGCGGGGAATTATTTTCCACGGGGATGGGAGAAGTTCCCTTCGCCGTGAGTAGCGGTGTGAGATCTCCACCCTCCCACCCAGACATTAAGACCGAGGTCTCGCCCGGAGGACAGCGTCTCTAACCTTGCATCAGAACCCCAGCACTGCACTGGTGCGTTAGCCTGGACTATGAGTTTATAAAGTATCCATAAAGTATAGTATCTTATAAAGTATTCGGCTCGAAGCCGAAAGCGGTCTTTTAAGACGAGAGCGCACAAGTGACTGCGACCGGCCGACACTTCGCGATTGCCAACGAAGACATTGGGGAAGGCGGACAGATGTGTCCGTTAATGGGGGCGGTGGTGGGGGGGGGAGAGGGGGGCTTAAAGGCTTAAAAAAAAGCTCCCGGGAGCGAGGGGTTCGAAGTGAGATACCGTTTATCAGAAGACAGTGATATATGGAGACAATCGCAGGAGTGTAAATCAATCCTTTATCTAATGTACCTTCTTTTTCTGTTTGGATTTCCCATGACTGGGGGGTGGGGGTGTGTGTGTGTGGGGGGGGGGGGGGGGGGGGGTGTGTGTGGGAGGGTGTGTGTGTGGGGGGGGGGGGGGGGGGTGTTGTGGGGGGGGTGTGTGTGTGGGGGGGGTGTTGTGGGGGGGGGTGTGTGTGTGGGGGGGGGGTGTTGTGGGGGGGTGTGTGTGTGTGGGGGGGTGTTGTGGGGGGTGTGTGTGTGTGGGGGGGGGGTTGTGGGGGGGTGTGTGTGTGTGGGGGGGGGGGGTGTGGGGGGTGTGTGTGTGGGGGGGGGGGGGGGGGGTGTGTGGGGGGGGGGGGGGTTGTGGGGGGTGTGTGTGTGGGGGGGGGGGGGGGGGGGGGGGGTGGGGGGGGGGTTGAGGTCTGAGATAAGTTGAGAACACATCTGTCACATCTGATCAGGTCAGTGTTGGGGGAATGGATGGTCTGTGAGAACCTGAGAGTGACCCCGAGGCGGATCAAACTGTGGTGTTATTTTGATTATTATTATTTCCTGCCATCAATCCCCGAGTGTGAGTGAGTGTGTGTGTGTGTGAGTGTGTGTGTGAGTGAGTGTGTGTGAGTGAGTGTATGTGTGTGTGTGAGTGAGTGAGTGTGTGTGAGTGTGTGTGTGAGTGTATGTGTGAGTGAGTGTGTGTGTGAGTGTGAGTGAGTGAGAGTGTGAGTGTGTGAGTGTATGTGTGTGTGTGTGTGAGTGTGTGTGTGTGAGTGTGTGTGTGTGAGTGAGTGTGAGTGTGTGTTGTGTGTGAGTGTGTGTGTGTGTGAGTGAGTGTGAGTGTGTGTGTGAGTGTGTGGTGTGTGTGTGTGAGTGAGTGAGTGTGTGAGTGTGGTGTGTGTGAGTGAGTGAGTGTATGTGTGTGTGAGTGTGTGAGTGTGAGTGAGTGAGTGTGTGAGTGAGTGAGTGTGTGTGTGAGTGAGTGAGTGTGTGTTTGTGGGGCGGTCTTTGCATTAATTCCACCCACAGACAGGAGCCGCCTCTGAGACCAGCGATCAGTCACTCGCTCCTCAGCAGCCGCTGCGCTTCCCATCTGCCATCCCACAGCCCTGGGTCACCTCCCCACAGCCCCCCCCCCCACCACCCCACAGCCCCCCCCCACCACCCCACAGCCCCCCCCCCACCCCACAGCCCCCCCCCACCACCCCCACCACCCCTCAGCCCCCACCCCACCACCCCACAGCCCTGGGTCACCTCCCCACAGCCCCCCCATCTCCCCTCCACCCCACAGCCCCCCCCACCACCCCACAGCCCCCCCCACCCCACAGCCCCCCCCCCACCACCCCTCAGCCCCCACCCCACCCCACAGCCCCCCCCACCTCCCCTCCACCCCTCAGCCCCCCCCCCACCCCACAGCCCCCCCCCACCACCCCACAGCCCCCCCCACCACCCCACAGCCCCCCCCCCCACCACCCCACAGCCCCCCCCACCACCCCACAGCCCCCCCCCACCCCACAGCCCCCCCCACCCCACAGCCCCCCCCCCCCACCCCACAGCCCCCCCCCACCCCACAGCCCCCCCCCACCACCCCACAGCCCCCCCCCCACCACCCCACCACCCCACAGCCCTGGGTCACCTCCCCACAGCCCCCACCCCCCATCCCCCCCCCACCCCTCCGGCCCCCGCTGTGGGGTAATGAGGGGACGGGATGAATGACCGGTTCCACAAAGCGGCCAGAGATGGTTTCCTGGATCTGCTCAAAGAGGCCACAAGGAAGGAGCTGAACTCTCCGGACGAGGATGGGATGACCCCCACCCTGTGGGCGGCGTATCATGGCAACCTGGAGGCACTCAGGCTGGTGGTCAGCAGAGGGTGAGTGTGTGTGTGTGTCTCAGGGCTCCACCATCCTGGGGATCCATCATCTTCTCTGGAAGGAACCAATGTTATTACTTCTCGTACTTGAACGAAGATGATTTGGAAATAAACCCATGTATTTTTATGACATTAGGCGGAGTCAAACCCCCTGGGACGCTACCCCACGTGAAGGGCGCTGTGCAAATGCAAGTTGTTGTTGTTGTTGTCGTCGTCGTGGTCCTGTGGCGTAGTGGTTAGAGCACTCGCTTCGCGAGCGAGAGGACCTGGGTTCGATTCGCGACCAGGGCAAGAACTTAGGCAAGTTTCCTTACTCCCCACACGCGCCTCAGTTTACCTGACAGTAATGGGAACCCGGTTGTTACTCAGTTGGCGGATCGCTTTTCCGGGAGTAATAATTCCTTCAAAATAATGCTAATCATTTGGTCACTCAGTCCACAACTGTCTGTGAGACGCTGCCGTGCGCAATTGGCTTCTGTGTTTCACTCACAAAATATACAGTCAATCCATTTCACAGTATATTCTGTGAACCGCTTTGAGACGTCTGGAAGACGCGATAAGGCGCTATAATCAAATGCAAGGATTATTATTATCAATGTTATTATACAGATACTTGAATGAAGGTGATTAGAAATAAATCCCTGCGTTCTTATAACATCTTATCATGTTGAAATGTTTCACAGCTTCACTTCTAATTACAGCCCAAGTGAGGTCTCATAAAAGGATAGTAGTGAAAGAACAATTCATTTGGAGGATTGCTGTCCAGGACACTGGGAGAGATAGAAATCATGTATCGCTGTGAGCTGTTAACACCGTATCGACCTGTCTGCTCAGCAGTCTCCAGCCTTGCACGTTCCCTGCCCTCCCCACCCCACTACACCCGCCCCACCCTACCCGTCCCAACATTGGGGGTCGGGCCTTCAGCCTCTCTTTCCCCCACTCTTTGGAACTCCATCCCACAGTCCCTTTGCGTTGCTTCCTGCCTTGCCTCTTTCAAGGTAGGTCTCAAGACTCCTCTTCGACCGCGCCTTCAGTCACCCTCTTACTTCTACTCTTCCTGCCTTCTTCCCACCCCCCGATCCCAATTCCCTGTTCCAGTCAAAATCCCTGACTGTCCAGGGCCTTGGGATGCCCTCTCGATGTGAAAGCAACAAGTGCTCCGGGACTCTATCCTGCCTGAAAGGCGCTATATAAATGCAAGTTGTTGTTGTGGAAAGGTGCTATACGAATGTACTTGGTTGTTGTTGTTTTCCAATTGTAGCAGAGCCTTGATGTAATGTTCCATCTGAAATTTGGGAACTCCTACCATCTCACGGCTAAAATCAAATTGGCTACTACACAGTCACTACACTTTACAGTAACTCCTGTGAAGGGATTTGAGGGATGAAAGGCACCATATCAAATGCAAGGATTATTATCTCTGGATTGTGAGAGTTCCAACTTTATTGACCCTGTTTTATAATTTTAAACACTTCTATTAGGTCCTCCCTTAAACATCTCTTCTCTAGGAGGAAAAAAAAGACCTAACCTATCCAGTGTATCCTGATTGAAGTATCCTTTCAACCCGGTATTATCCTCGTTAACCTACGCTGTATTCTTTCTATCGCTGCTATATCCCTCTTATAGTGAAGAATTGGTCTCCCCTAATGTTGTCTAAATTCAACATCACTTTTATATTCATTCCGTCTGGATACAAATCTATAAAAGTAGTTACACTATCCCTTAGGCTTGTTCCCTCCCTTGCCTCCTTCAAGGCCATTTCAAGACTCTCCTCTTCGACCGTACCTTCAGTCACCCTCCTTCCCCTGCCCTCCACCCCTCCTGATCCCAACCCCCATCTCGCGTCCAGATCCCTGACTGGCCAGTGCCTTCGGATGTCGTCCCGACGTGAAAGGTGCTGTGTAAATGTAATTTGTTGTTATTTCCCCTTATTTCTTAACAGCATACATTTCCCCTGCACCTTTTCGATCTCGTGCTTAAAAATCTTCCATTGTTGCTCAAAATCTTTATTTGCTTAATTTTTCCCTCCAGTTTACCTAAACCAGTTAATAATAGCAATAATAATACTTGCATTCGATATAGCGCCTTATCAGGTCGTTGAGACATCTCAAGGTGCTTCAGGAACACATCAGTGTCCCACAAACCATCACGGATTGAGTGACCACATTTTTTCAAAGAGACTATTACCCACGGAAAGCAATCCGCCAATTGACTAACAGCCGGGTTCCTATTTACTTCCAGAGTGTCAGCTGAAACCATTTTGAGAGTGATTGTGGGCATCAGTCAATAGTGTTGAGATCATGTGTAACTCCCTAAAAGCTGTTCAGCCAGAGGAACTGAAATGTTGTGGATCCTGGCAGTGTAGAGGTTAACCAGTGAAGCGTAGTGCGTGGTTGATGTGCACAAAGAGCTGTAAAGGTCGAATTCTAGGATGCAGTGAGTGAATGTCACCAGGCACAAACTGATTTCCCTATAAAATTTGGATTTTATTTTAAGACGACCAGTTTCTTGTTCATGAATATGGAGAAGTTACTGTTGTGTGAGTATCTGAACATGTCGTTCCTCATGTCTAATATGCATCACTGACATCTTTATGAGCAGAAATTCAATTCCCCTCTGTTGACAGTTACACTGACTGCAGTGTCTGACAGGCAAGAGATGTAGGCAGTGACCAGGACGTCTAAATAGAATGCAATCTTTTAAGGTCACATTCACAATAAGCTATTCATCACTAAACAAAATACTTGCTTTTCCTCTGGGTGCATCTAAGCGACGTACATGCTCATTAAGTGTCAGAATTCGATTCCATATAATGATAGACAAGGAGGCAGCAAAGCATGGAATCACAGCTAACAAAAAATATCAGGAGGAAACTGAAGCACAAGAAGGGAAGCTTATGTACGATGCAAAAAGGAGAGCACCATTGCTCAATAGGAAGGGATGTGGGTCCGATCTGTGCATAGAAAGATGGTGGCAATGCTCTCACAGATTTCATGCTGAGCTGTGTTGCTCACCAGGAAGCGAGCCTTGGCTCTTGCCAACCTGCGCCTAATTCTTTCCGGAATTAGGTAAACAGGATACGTCCCTCCAGGGAGAGAGTCAGTGCGCATTCCATTCCAACAACCTATCTATTGGAAATTTCATGTGTAGGTGGGGGATGCATGGAAATCTCAGCTTGGTTTGGATACTCTGAAGTATGGTGATGGAGCCAAGGCTTAGAGTGAAGAACAAGGAACTGAAGATGGGGAAGAGGTTAAAGTGAGTTTGGTTTCAAAAGTCTGGAGATTGCAGCAGTAGTGAAGACTGAAGCTTTCACTCTGAGATGTCCAGAACAAATGTGCTGGGAGTATAATAATAATATTCCTTGCATTTAGTATGGGGGGTGGGGAGGGAGACGGTGAGGATTTTGAGAGAGAGAGAGGGGGAGAGATTATAGAGCGTGAGGTGCTCAAAGGAGATAGGCAAATTGGGACCTGGAGATGGTGGTTGGGGCGGGGGCATAGTGGATGATAGGCGGCCTCAGAGAGGAGAGGAAAGCCTTGCTGGGGGGGGTGTGGGGGGTTCACTAGTGGGGTGGGGGGGGGAAGGAGAGGGGTACAACAACAAGTTGCATATAAATAGCACCCATCATGTGAAGTCCTGTAGTTCAGGCACTCGCTCCTTATTGAAGGAAATGAAACATTCTGCAGTTAGATGAGGCCTCTGATCTCTCTGCTCTGATGAGTGCTATTCTGTATGAATAATTCATATATTATAGAAACTCTACAGCACGTTCATTATTTATCCAGTGGAACCCTTGCCAGGCTCAGAGGCTAGAATAATATGATGAGATTGCAACGCCACACAGTGACGGGCTCTGTCATTGTTATGGCAGTGAGTAACAGCTGTTGACTGAGGCTATGTCATGTTTATCCACAAAACAGGAAGCCGAGGCCTAAAAATGGGCATTTAGTGCCGCCAAACATCCATTACAATCATCGATAAGGAGTCAGGTAACAGTCAATGGTGTCAGCACGTGTAACGAAATTTCACCCACAAAATACACAGTCGATTCGCTTTACAGTATACCCTGTGAAGCGCTTTGAGACGTCTCGAAGACGAGATAAGGCGCCGTATCAAATGCGAGGATTACTATATTATTGTATTGTAACAACATGCTCGAAGCAACCTCTGATGTGCGAGTGCTCGGCTCTACACCCTGAGCCATGTAACCCAAGTCCATTCCCTCCAAGCTATAATCTGAGCCATGCATTGGGTCTGAAACACCTTTAATGTATGCAGATGTTTAAGTCAAATGGATCACGTGACAGCGTGAGGACAGCTGGCTGGGGGTAGCCATTGGTCAAGCCTCGCGTGGGCAGAGGGTCACATCACCTTTCAGAGTGATGGATGCACAATGAAATCCAGTCCACAGTTCCGGAGTCAAGTTCCAAACCAGTCACAGACACTCAGAGAAATCCAATCCCACTCCAGTCACCTGCGAATTGCATTGGATTCATTCTGTGCTTAGAGAGATGACTTCCTGAGGCTGTGCCAACCCTCAGCCCTCAATCCCACCGCCTTCACCCTCACCCCCAGCTCCCAACTCTCACCAGGGCTTTCCTCTGAACAACACTCCTTCAGATAAATTTGATCACCTCGGGGTGCTTTGTGGGGGGGGAACTGGCTGAGATGTCAGACAGGCCCAGTGCATTATGAAGCTTGGGGCTGTGCAGTGCGGAAATCCTCCAAAAGGTGAGTGAGCACACTGTTTATCCTCCGTCTTTGTGCTGATTTTCAGGGGCGATCCCGACAAGTGTGACATTTGGGGGAACACTCCCCTCCACCTCGCTGCTGCTAATGGCCACCTCAACTGTCTTTCATTCCTGGTGTCCTTCGGGGCAAACATCTGGTGCCTGGACAATGATTACCACACGCCCCTGGACATGGCGGCCACCAAGAGCCACATGGAATGTATCCGCTACCTGGATTCCATCGCAGCGAAGCAGAGCAACCTGAACCCTAAACTGGTTAGCAAGATGAAGGAGAAAGCTTTCAAAGAGGCTGAGAAGCGAATTAAGGAATGTGCGAAGCTACAGAGGAAACACCACCTGAGGATGGAGAAGAAATACAAGAAGGAGATGATGGACATGTCAGACAGCGTCAGTTTCTCCAGCTACTGCAGCAGCACAATGAGCAGGCAGCACACTGTCTCGGTGCCGTACTCCCAGGCCACCCTCAACGCCACAGCCAGGGGGAAGACCAGGATCCAGAAGAAGCTGGAGAAGAAGAAGCAGGGAGACGGGACCTTCAAGATCTACGAGGAAGGAAGGAAGAGCATCCGCTCGCTGTCCGGCCTGCAGCTCAGCCACGATGTCATGTTCGTCAAACAGGGCACGTACATCAGCCCCAAGGACAGGATGAGGAGGAATGTCCGTGACATGTTCCCGAGTGGAGAGGATACAGTCTCGCGTGCCATCAGCGACCCCGGTTTGCACACGGACACGGCGTACTCGGAGATCAGCACCGACTCGGGACACGAGTCGCTGTTTAACAGGCCGGGTCTCGGAACGATGGTTTTCCGCAGGAACTACGTCACGGGTGGCCTGTTTGGCCTCGGCCTGGAGCAGGAGGGGGGGCTGATGGACAGCAGCAGCGGGGCAGGGGTCAGGCTGAGGAGTCGGCTTCACCGGTCGCCCAGCCTGAGCGAGAGCATCGGCAGCGCCGGCAGCCTCCAGGGGGGCAGCGGGCCGTCCTGGGAGCTGGGAGAGCTGGAGCTAGACAGCGACATGGACACCAGCCCCCTGGACACCTTCCTGGCCTCGCTCAGCATGTTCCACTTCATCCCCATCTTCAAGAAGGAAAAGATAGACCTGGACTCGCTGATGCTCTGTTCAGACGAGGATCTGAAAAGCATCAACATCCCGCTGGGACCCAGGAGGAAGGTCTTGGCCGCTGCCCAGAGCAGGATGAGGTGTCTCCGGCGCCCGGCGTCTCTGCTCGACACCAGCCTGTGAGCGCCAGCCACTGCCAAAGCCTCCAAACCAATCCTATATTGACTGGCGTTTTTACAACGGGAACAGTGATCAAACTATCTCAGGTAAGAGTCCCAGGGCTCACAATCTCACCTTCCGCAGTCTCTCTGCACAGCAATTACATGGGCTCAGCTGTGTTGCGACTGTCCCTGACCCTGTGTTACTCTCTGTGCCGGGTGCTGTGTTGCTGTCAGTCGTGAGAATGTGTGCGTGTTTTTTTTTATCTCTTGCTTTTCGCTGTAGATAAAACTATTGAAACTACAGAGTGTCAGCGACTCCCTCAGACACCAGGGTGTGTCTTGAACATCCCATTCAGTAGATCCACATCTCTGACTGAACGGACAAGGAAACAAAACGTGGCCATATGAGGATTGGTGATGATTCCGTGCCTCTGACCGTGCTCCGAGCTCCAGAACATTCCCGACCAGTCCACGGAGGTTCCTGGTGACGTTGTGTCAAGTTTAGACTGGGGTGGGGGGGGGGGGGTTTCAGCATCGACGCTCACCACTTGACTGCTCATCACTGGTGAGAATAGCGCCTCTCATTCGTGGCCTGGTGCTCCTGACCGAACTCCACAAGAACCTGCATGCCGAGGGCTGAATGTGGCGCCACTCTCGCCCCCATGTGTGGGTGGACGTGCCCTTGCCATTGCCACTCGCCAACGCTGGACCCCACCCCCCCCCCCCCCCCACCCCCACCGGAGTGTTGACGATCCGGCTCGGAGTTAACACAGGGTTTCCGCTTCCGATTCCTGTTTGCCTCTATTATTCCAGGTGCCTGCGCTGTGACTGTGTTGCCCTCCCCTTCCCCCGGTGTCCCTGATGTCTGTGTTTATGTGAAATGCCAAATGACTGCTTCATAATCTGAAACAGTGCTGCAATGTGCTCCACACGTTCTCTCCTGTTCACTTGCTTCGAGTCATTCAGAGAGGAGTTAAGAGAAAGAAACGAGAGACAGTGAGAGAGAAAGAGAACAAAGGAAGAGAGAAGAAAAGGAAAGCCCACGATGGAAATCTTTTGCGGTGCAGCTGATGGCTGGAGGAGTCTCTCCCTCTGGTGGTTTCACATGAAGTGTCTTCGATAATCTCAGTGGTTGACGACCGAACCTGTAAGTAACCTAGGCGTCCGGTTCAATCAGCAGCTATACTTCCTTCCCCACATCGGGTCACTGACCAGGCCATCGTTTCTCCACCTCCACTACATTGCCCACCTCTGACCGTACCTCGGACCCAACACAACTGACAACATGCATTCATCACCTGCCGCCTCGATTATTCCAATGCCCTCCTCGCTGGGATCCCCAGGGCCACCATTCATCAATATAATAATAATCCTTGCATTTTATATATTACCTTATCATGTCAAACACTTCACAGGGTATACAGTAAGGTGGATTGACTGTATTTTGTGGGCAAAATGCGGCAGCCAGTTGGAAACAGCAATCTCCCATAAATAGCCATGGAATGAATGACCAATTTTATTAGGGGAATTGTTGTCCAGGACACTGGGAGAAACTCCCTTCTAGTTTCGAATAGTGCCATGGGATCTTTAACGTCCACCTGAACAGGCAGACGGGGCTCATTCGAAGGACGGCACCTCCAGCAATGCAAACCCCCACCCCCAGCGCTGCATAGATGTGAGCTGAGACTTGTTTGCTTCACTCAGCTGGCTCCAGCCTTCTGCACATCCCTCGTCCCCTCCGCTCCATCATCGGCGACTGTGCTTTCAGCAACTACGCAAAACTATGGAACTCTCTGGCTCAACGCGAGCTAAACTGCACAGCCTCAACATAGTTGTCTCTGAGGATGGTTGATGTAAAACCACAGGGTGTGTCAGGCTGTTCACTGGAGACAATTGCTGGGAAGTGTACCTATATTGCTCTGTTTGTAGTAAATGAGGCTGTTGTCGGGGAAGCATATTTTGGGGGGTAAATAAAGATTTTGGAAGAGAAAAGTCTGACAGTGTTTATTTTTTCTGGTCTCGAGAAAAGATATTTTTTGGGTGCGGGGGGCGGGAGTTGATAGATAATGAGAATTTTTAGTGAGAGCCTGGAGGAATATAGTCTGAGGTGTTAAAAGAAGAAGGTACCAGCGGGGATAGGTCAAGTTGGGACCTAGCAATGAGAGTCAGGGGGTGAGAGTCAGAGACATGGAGACAGTGCTTATACTTAATTTATTTATTTACTTATTGAGGCACAGACCTAGATTAATAAAAAGGCAGCTACAGTCGGCCAAAAAGATTGTGGTTAACTGGGTTGAGTGAGATATTAGTACACCCAAAAAAAACCAAGAAATAATCATTCCTTTTGTAATCCCCGCTAGGGTTGGTGTGGGCGATGCTTCACGCCTTGTCTGGTAAAACCAACGGCTTCTGAAAGATGCAAACCTGCTCGTGTACCACCTGCAAGACACAAACAAATCTATAAATTCTTGTCTATCTTGTCTATCTCGGCTGACCAAAAATAAACAGACTGACAGATACACTGACACAACACACACACACACACACACAGACAGGGAGAGACACACATGCACAGACAGACAGACATACACACACAGACACCTAAGCTCTACGTGAGTTGGGCTTGTGGGCTCAGTGGCTTGTTTCTGTGCTTTAATATTCTATGTAAGTCTACTGTTGATTCAGTGATTCATGTAGCTTCCTGAGACTCCTTAGCTCACAAGAGCTTACTGAGACTCCTAGCTTACAGGCGAAGAATGGACTGGAAGCCACACACACCTGTGCAATCCATTAAATACATTTAGTCCAGAAGGTTATAGGTTCTAAACCAATCTGTGTACTTAACCCTGTCAAGGACAATGAAATGAGTGCCTTTTGGGGTGACTTGGCTTCCAGATAACAAATCCCAAATAGCCAGGGATCCTTGCTTCCAATGGGTGGATACACGTGCAGTGACTACCTGAAGCAGCACCTTAATAGCCATTGAAATCAATGAGATCCCTCTGTAGTTCTCGGTCTCATTTGGGTCCCCCTTCTGTAGATAGATACCATAATTGTACTCTGGAACAATGATAGTATGTCTGCCTCAGAGAATCTGTTGTCCAGCACTAGGAGGGCAGCTCCAAGGTAAGTTGGAAGTTCCTGGCTTGGATCTGCAAAAAAATCCTCTCCGTTCACTTCCCCCACCCTTAGAGCAGCATTTTTTATTATTATTTAGGATCTCGGCATTAATGTCATCTGCACCTGCTGCCTTACCAACAGCAAGGTGCCCTACTGTGCAGTCCACCTCCTTCCAACGGACTGGGTCATTGAAACCTTCAATCTGCTCCACACTTCTCACCAGCTCTTCCATTGCAGATGGATCTCTGCTACGGCTGTTTGGGACAGATGCCGACTAGGCCTGATGCTCCCTCCAGACACTGGAGTGGCAAATAGCAGAGTGGGGAATACTAGAGGGGGAAACACAGAAGGGGGAAATATGAAAGGGTGAAACACTGGATGGACGGAACTCTAGAGAGGGGGGAACACGAAATAGAGAGGCAAATATTAGAGGGGCAAATAATAATGGGGAAAACCTAGAGAGGAGAGCACTAACAACAACAACAAAATTACATTTGTATAGCACTAGAGGGGCAAATAGTTGTGCCCATTGGGAAACCAACTCCATCTCCAGAGTGTTCAGTTACAGGTCAGTGCAGGCCTCCGTGCCTGTACATGCCATAACCTGCCTCACACGCTCCTCATCAGAACATAATCCACCCTGTTCCTTCCTGATCAAAGTAGGCGACTACTGCTTGTGATATCCATGCAGTGTCAACCATAGCCTCACCTTAAGAGCCATTTAAATCAGTGAGATTCCTCAGTAATTCTCGCTCTCACTATAATAATCATTATAATAATGATATAATAATTATAATAATAATAATCCTTGCATTTCATGTCACTGAGACGTATCAAAGCACTTCACAAAATGTACTGTAAAGTGAATTGACTGGGTATATTGTGGGTAAAATGCGGCAGCCGATTGTGTCATGGATTGTGTTACTAAATTTTATTTTATTTTTTATGGGATTATTACCCCTAGAAAGCGATCCGCAAATCCACTATTAGCGGGGTTCCTACTTACTGCTAGATAAACAAAAGCGTGTGGAGTAAGGAAACTTGCCTAAGGTGGGCTTTCAACCATTTTGCCATCTCTGGTACTCTATTCTGGAGTCACTCAGACTCGCTCCCTCCCTCACTTATTCCCTCCCTCCCCTCATTCAAGTTCTCCATACTTTTGAGACCTCTTCACGAGTTGAAAGCCACCATACAATAGTCGCATTGTATTAAGCACCAATTATAAAATGAAAGCTTCCTGCAACTTCTCTTTTGTTTACCTGTTTCCATGGCTATGGAGTGTAGCGGTGCGTGGCATGTGTACAGCTTCACTCTCTGTAGATTAATATATTATGTCAACATTTGAAAGAAACTTCTGCTTTCAGTGACTGTCGATGGCATTTCAGGCTCCGAGTGAACAGATCCTCTGTTACTTGGGAACAAATCCATTTGTGCAACTGGCTTCACATGTCCCATGGCTTCACTCACTCTTAACGCAGAGCAAAATCCACCTTGGTGAAACTCACAGTGATAAACAACCATATTAACTGAGATACGTGAAACAGAGAAAGAACATGTAAAGATATACGTTTCTCCTGTACAAGATAGCGTGAGGATCGCCAATAATTTCTGTGGACACACCAGTTTACACAAAGCTAAAGATACTATTCTTCCTCCGTCACCTTTTCCAGAATCTGAGGTGAACTCCCCTTTTCCAAAGCCTTTTAAAATTAATATTACGCCTTTAATTTACTGCGAACACTTCCAGTCCTCTTTATCCCAGAGATTGGCGTGTTCTCGACCATATGGTGGCTAGAAAGGGAGCGCATTTCAGAGTTGAGTTCAGAGAATCACAAGAAGTGGAAATCCCGTCCTGGCAAGTGAGTTGCACACAGAAATCACGGGCGGTTGTTTTAAAAAGTTCCGTGGTGTCAAACTTGATGCCACACTGTTCACTCATGATGGAATTGCCTCGATCTGGCCTCATGGAGACCTGCCTGGAGGATGTGGCTTCAGGTGAGCTCAGCCCCAAATCAGTGGAGGACTCGAGGCTCTCCTCATTGGTGTCCAAGACCACGAATGCTTTGTTCAGTCTCTCTCCTGTCCGGCAGCGTAAGTGCGATGGCCAACAGTACTCGTTCTCACTGGCTGATGAAACGAAACAGAAATCTTTAGATTAACGATTTAATATTATAATAATAATCCTCGCATTTGAGATGGCACCTGATCGTATCGTCAAGACGCCTCAAAGGGCTTCGCTGTAAAGTGATGCGTCAGTGTTTGTGGGCGAAATGCGGCAGCCAATTTACGTTCAACCTCAACAGGGAAATTAGGACCTTAGTTTAACGTGTGGTCTGAAGGTCCACACC